CGGGAGTGTGCGACATCCCTGTTAAAAAATTGAGAGGTGATCCAAAGTTATAGGAGTATGTGACATCCCTATTGAAAGAAAAAAGATTAACATGGTCAATTCTCAAATAATCACCCCACTTCGCACAAAAACGCCTCCTTCAACAGTCTCCTTTATAGAGCTTTTTCCTTACCTCTTTCTGATCATGCTTTTTCTAAAGAAATTAATATCATAAAACAACTTGCAATTAATAATAAATATCCACTCGAAGCCATAAATAAAATTTATTTCAAACTATACACAAAATTCAAACTTAGCTTCAACATAAGTACAATACAAACGGAACCTGTTTCATTTATAGGCTCACTACATTTCTTTGGTCCTATTTCCTATATGTTTTCAACCGTTTTCAAAAAACATAACATTAGAGTAGCCTTTAAAACTAATAGTAGCATTGGTAATATGTTTATTAATACAAAAGATTTAGTTCCTCCACTTCATAAATCAGGTATCTACCAAATCAATTGCTTGTCCTGCAATTCCATCTATTTAGGTCAGAGTGGCCGCAGACTAGATACACGGTTCCGCGAACATTGTCATCATATCAATAAGTATAAAGGCACGGACATCTGTAATACTCAATCTAGTTTTGCTAACCATATACTTTCAACCAACCATGATTTTTCTATTTCTAGTGTTTCCCTTATTCATCCCTGCACAAAAGGTACTAGAATGAACTTATTGGAGCTATCTGAAATCCACAAAGCACTCAATAATAAAGATTACAACTGCCTTAACGAACAGATACAAACAAAAGAAAACTATATCTTTCTTAATCCTCACAATTACTAAACATATTTGACCTATGCAATTTTAATAGTCATATTTACATTCTCATAATTGTATTTCATTTATTTACTTTTCTCATCTTGTCTATTCATACTTCTACTGTCACTTTTTCTTCTTTTTTCTTCTTTTCATTAACCTAATATTTAATTGGCCTCGTTTCATCAGTTTTACAGCACCACCTGTTTACTTACCCAGTAATTAGTCCATCTCTGATATCTCTATTCTAATATTCTGGCATATCTTACTTATGTTTAATCCATATCATTTCTATTTTATTTCAATTTAATTGCTACCTTTTAAACAAATTTCTGTGTTTTTTAATAAACTTATTGTTCACCTTAATTTAAATTGTTAGCGCCATTGTTGACATTGACATATGACATTACTTAATTTTACTTTTTCATTTCCGGTTTCCGCCATCTTGTCTATTCTTGCAAGACATAATTTTGAGATTTTCAAATTTTGCTCTTAATTTTACTAAATTTACTCAACTTTTAACCTTTATCTGGTTAAAAACAATTATTTGAGAATTGACCATGTTAATCTTTTTTCTTTCAATAGGGATGTCACATACTCCTATAACTTTGGATCACCTCTCAATTTTTTAACAGGGATGTCGCACACTCCCGTCATTTCTGATCACCTTACCGGTGATTACTTGTTAATTAATTCCTAATTTTCAATATTTAAACCTTTATAACATTTATTTTTTACTTATGTTTACCACATAATCTTCATCTATACTTTTAATTAATCTTGTAACTCATTCTGTCCAATGTCAATAATCTGGTGTAGAAGATAATTTTATATATGAATGTAAGTATTGTTGATCTGTATGTTTTTTCTCCTTAGACATAAGTTCTTATATTGTAGGCCTGAAGATGGCCAGTTGGCCGAAACTAGTCGCTTAATCAAAAAATTGAATAAAGTTGTTTATGTGGTACAGATTTTGTGTATGATTCGTTTGAATAACTCGACCACATTTGAGAATATGGATAATCTTTCGTCATTGGAATAATATTGTTATTATCGTTTTGTATCTGGGATATCATACTATCGATTTTGGTGGGGGTTTCTTCAAGGACAAATTCCTGTCGTCAGTCCAGAAGCAATAGATCCGCTCATTTAGTTGAGATATTGCTTTAATACAGTGCGCTTTGAGGTGAAAACATGTCTGATACTAGCAAAAATAAACTGTTTCAAATATTGGTAAGTCAATATGTACGTGAACAAATGAAAGGCTGACGAAGTATTTACTAGAAAATGCTACTCAAAAAGCCTATGGATTATTATGTAAAGATGTAACAGTGCCAGAGATGTACATCTTTTACGTTCCTACTATAAACTTTAATTGGAGCCGTGATTTTTTTGTTTTCGGGACCTAAGATATTTTGTTATGAAGTTATGAGCAGGAACAGTTTCTTAGTCATTTTAAAATTTATAGGATTCAGCCCTCCGTCAGCTTATGTACCTGAAAGTGTTTATTACACGCTTGGGAGTTTTCTTTGCTCTTCTTAGAGAAAACTGCATGACACTTGTCGATCCTGAAAAAGTAGTATCTTTAGATGAATGTTTGGTGTTGTGTCCATTCAAAAGACTGATGCAATTGAACATTACAACATAAATATGAGGGCAGTAGATGCTGTAAATCAAGATATAGAGCCTTATAGCTGTACTAGAAAAAGTTACACATGGTTCAAAAAAATCGGATTAGCGTATGGTGCTAAATTTAATATACACGAATGCTACAGAAAAGACAGTACAGTTCTGGATTTCACAAAAGCACTTATCAACGATCTCTTATTCGAATATACCAGTCAAACATGTTTTTGCAAGTGAAGTAAAAAACAAAGGAAAACGCAGAAAAAGGAGAACTTGCAGGGTGTGCTACCAAACTGATAAGAAATGGACTTACACTTCCAATTTTTGTTGAAATTGTGAGGATGGGCCAATATATTTACGCTCCATTGAACATTTTGATAAATATCATGATTACAATTAGAAATATAGGTAAATAAACCAGTATTTTTGTAATTATTGTTTTTCTTAGTCTTCATCTCCCTTCACTCCCCTCCCTCCCCCCTTCAAAAATTTTTGGGGATCCTAATCTTACATTTAGTTGGGTGACATATAAGGCATACCTAACTAATTTTTCTGGTTGTTTCAAAGAAGGTTAAGTTGTTATTCACTTCCCTCCCTCCATTGCCACCCTTCTATTCCTTATGTGCATTAGAGTGGTGCGAACTTTAAAATTTGGAAAAAGCAGAACACCTGGGTGTGAAAAAGTAGTGTATGATTAATCCAAGTAAATTACCTCTATGACAAAAAATTATTGGACTGCGTTTTCCACCTCCCTAAGACCAAATTATTTATCTAGGATAAAACGGCGGCAGGGGCTGGATAATAAACCCAAATCGTAATATTTTTTTGGAGAAAATGGATTATATTCATTTATAAAACCTGTTTAACGATCAGGCATCGTTAAAATAAAATTATTAAAAATAATTAAAAAAAAAGTCAGACGTCACGAGCCTTTTGTAAATATTACATTTGTAGGTTACTTACTTTATTTTACCATGCAAAACTAAAGAAAGTTTTTAAGCAATCGTAGAAACATAATTTGACCTTGGCAACATGGTTTTGCTCCCCCCCTCCTATCCCACAACGTTCGTACCTACCACGCCGGCGCCGCGCGGTCGAACCATTTAGCAGTTTATAAATAGACATTTTTAAACGGCATACTAGTATTTCAGCCGTTGAGCGAGCATGTAGTGTGTTATTTGAGTGTTATTGTATTTTGTGTAAATTAGTGTAAACTGAACAATTATCATTATGTTATTAAAACCTTGAAGTCTTTAAAACAGACAGTCAACGACTATTTGATATTGCATCCTGCAAATGTGCTGATTTTTCTTTATGTTTGTGTCCAAAACAAAGCAAGGTAGGTTAAATTTAAAAAAACAAAATAATATACATATAATACACTTATCATATCTTAAGTCAATGTGACATAAACTGTAAAATTTTACTAATTTATTTTTCATTGTACACAAAATTGTTTAAAGTAAAACTGAAAAAAAAAAAAATCTAAAGTGTTCAGCGTTCGGTTTCTAACAATCCCATTTTTTTAGGTACCTGTATTGGAACGAGCATTTCTCCTAGATCAGAGAACATCCAGAAAGATGGTGATCGTCGGTGTTGACCGCTAAGAATTACAACGGCAACAAAGACGAGATAATAGAGCTTTCACTAGTAACCTCAAAGTCACTGACTACTATGAGTGAAAAAAGAAGTGAACCTCATAGAAATAACGATAGTGGAATGGGACTTGATTTAAACAAACTCAACACATCAGCGGCGTCCTCTTATTCTAATTTCAGAAATTTAGCTAGCCTACCAATACTAGCTAAAACTTTGGATAGAAACGGCGTATTCGATAGGGCAGGTGCAGCTATAGCATCCGCCGTTTTAAAAGATTACGGAATAGTTAAAGTAGATGACCTTTAAAATGACATAGATCGCTATAAAGTTAGAACGGTTCGTGACAATGAACGTCAAAATTTGCAGAAGAAAATTACTGATTCTGTATTTTTGCGTGGCCTTTATTTTGATGGTCGCAAAGACAAAACTCCTACTTTCTCTAAGAACAGAAAAAAAGCATTATAGAAGAACATATTGTTCTAATACAAAAACCCGAGTCCAAATATCTTGGTCATATTTCACCCCCTAGTGGCTCAGCGCAAAATGTGTTACAAAGTATGTTGGATTTTTTTCAATCTTCTTCAATTTCTACAAATTTGCTAGATGCGGTAGGCTGTGATGGAACTAATTGCAATACTGGATATAAGGCAGGAATAATAACTCGTTTAGAGAATAGTTTACAGAAGCCAATGCAATGGATTATTTGCCAGTTTCATACCAATGAAGGGAGGTCTAAGGCATTTAGTACAGCATTTGGATGGAACCACAACTGGCCCTCGAGGCTTTCAAGGACCTATTGGAAAAACATTAGGGAATTGTGAGAAACTTTGAACGAATCGAATCTTCACTTTCAGATATGCCGACAAACGATTTAAGTTCGAATAAGTATATGTATGACATGTGTCAAGTAATAATGAGTGGACCAAAAGTATGGCAAAGCGAGATCCTGAAAAGCTCAATCACTCGAGATAGGTAACAGAATTCTTAGGCTGTATGTGGCTACCGAAGAGCCGTCGGTTAGTTTAATTACATTAGCGACATTCATAGTAAAAGTTTATGCACCGATGTGGTTTAAAATTAAGCTTCATTCTTCGTGCATTTATAGATCCAAGCATATTTTTGAAATCATTAGATTATGCACGTACTTAACAGAAGATCTTAAAAATATAGTACATTCTGTAATTCAAAGAAATGGTGACTTTGGACACCCTGAGAACATATTGCTAGCAATGCTTTGGGATAAAAGAAGTTATATTAGAAAACTAACCTACCATAGAATACTTAAAGTTCGCAGTAATAAAAATGATTTGATCAATAATAACAGCATCCGCAGTTTCATTATTCCCAAGTTTAACTTTGGTTGCAAAGAGTATATTGAGTTGATAGATTGGCAGAACATTATATACTACGAATCCCCTATTACTAGAGATCTATCTGAAGATCAGTTAAAGCAAGTTGTAGAAAACCCTGATTCTTCTCCAGTTTCCTACATCAGAGGTTTGCCGTGTCATACACAAGCAGTCAAGAGGGCAGTAAAACTCTTCACGCAATTTTATAGTAAAGGCAAATATCTGGTTGGCTTAAATAGAGCTAGGTGCAATGCAAACTAACAAAATTTTCAAGAGAGAAATATTGCAAATTTCTTTAATACCGGCTACTAATAGTAACAACATAATAATAGGGAAATAAATTCCATATTAAAATGAAACTCATTGCAAACCTAAAGTTTAACATTAGAATTCTTGTCGTTATACCCATTTCTAACCTTATTTTAAAACCTTTGGATTATAGTTAAGGTTTTTTGTTGTCTATAATAGTACATAATATAGAAGAGGCATTATAAAAGGCCATTTTAGGCGATTTAGATGATGATAATATTAAATATATTAAATATAGAAGTTAACAGAATTAACTTCAAAATTATTGTTTTTAAATGATTTAGCACCCTGTATACTATAACACCCTGTATAGCCACTACATAAAACACGTGTTAACATGGATTTTTAACGTTTTATTAAATATCTCGTAAACAATGTTTAAAATGTAATTAATTAAGGAACAAAATAAAGAATGTCTTTAAAGGGCATAAGGCCTATCACCTCATCGCGTTCGGCTGGTCGAAAGTCAAGTCCCCGGTTTATCTTGGTCCTGGACACTGCAACGTGGAGACGTGGTACCGTCGACCCCAGTGGCGGCGATATCCTAATTCGCTGACTCTTAACAGACACTGAAACGGGCAGACGTGGTACCGTCGACCCCATTGGCGGCGATATCCTAATTCGCTGACTCTAACAATATACGAATGTTGGCGAACTTCTAACTAACGTAAGTAATTATTGTAATTTAAATTTTAAATAATAATTAATAAATAATGTGGTTAGTTTATTGTATTTAATCATGTTTACCATTTTTTATTTTTTCATAATTTTTTTGTTTTTACTTTTGACAAAATGTAGGATTTATATATTATTGAAAATTTAAAGTTTCGTATTAAAATTCTATAAAACGGTAAGATATTTATCAAAAAAATGTTTTTCTTGAATATCTTGCATTGCTTGCATTCCATATACTTTGCGGTTTTTTTTGAGCAAGTAATATATGTTTTGTTGCCTAACCTTGGATATAGATATAAAAGTAGTGTGTGAAACTTTTTGCTGGTCCTCTAAAATTTTCTATTACCAAAATGGACGTTTTCCTTAGTTAACTAATTACGAATATATGGACGGTGTTCCTTTCCAAATTTTTAATGGATCAAGAACACGAGAAAAGCCACAACAGAACTATAAAACTAAGTGATCGGAGTAGTTCGACTAGTAGAGAGCGCACATTGAACATTGCTAATAATAATTATAAATTAGCTGGATAAACCTAATGGAACTTTTATTGCTATCATTAAGAGAATTCGAGAGTAGGGCTCTTAAACCGTTGCATCGCAATTTCTCTGTGTGGTAAATTTAATCCCCATTCTCTGGATACTCGAATTGTGGATACAAGTTTTTTATTGGCACTCACTACCGTATCATCTGCTCTATTTAATTATATAGCTTGAAAATACCTTTTTTACATTAAAATTTTTAGCATATTTTAACTCATTTATTAAAAAAAAAGTAAGTTACTTGTGACAGTCCATAAAGTCTTGCCCTCACATTCCATAAAGTATTGACTGTACATTATTTACTTCTCATATTTATAACCCAATCCTTTAGTATCAAAGTTTGGTCCTAAATACTTCCAATTCAGGGCCGGCCCCAGGGTAGGGTGATCTGGGAGTCCGCCCGGAGCGCAATGATCTAAGGGCGCCAAAATCAAGGAAAATTAAAATAAACTGATAAAAATAATTAAGTTACAGGCTTTTATAAAATGCAGTACAAAGTAAAGAATATTTTTTTATCATTCTGATATCATATCAATAAATTATTTTTTATAATATTGCATTGTCATCGGACCCTTGTAAGTATTCCAAATTTCATTGAAATCGGTTCACGGGAATTTTCTCAAAAACGTGTTGCAAGATTTGACTGATAGTTGACAAGATTAAGAGGCGGCAGGCGGAATTTATCATTTTTATTTCTGAGCACATAATTTAAAGATTAAGGCAAAATCTAGTTGAATTCAATTCAACATGACAGAACCACTCAACCACCGCCTTTCAAGAATTGACAAGTTTTTCGGCCCGTGGCAACACGACTATACAGGAAACAACAATTTTGAAACCAAGCGGAACAAGATATAACAGCACTTTTTAATTGCATATAAAAAGGAAGTAGACTTAAAGCAATGCCTTATTTGCCACTAGACTTCGGCTGGTGCGAAATAAAATTGTTTAAATTGTTAGTGCAAAAAAGCTTTAAAAAAGTGCTTGTGCAAATTGTCCAGTGCGTTTGGCTTCTGTGTGTGGGGGGTAGATTTTTTTAAGCTAGTGGCACACACGGGGGATTTAAAAAATTAGAGTTTACATCAAAAAATGGCTTGTGTGGTATCAAATAAAAGTTGATTGAACCTGCAGTTGAATAAAATTTATTTTATTTGTTTAGGCCAGTGGCACACAAGGGAAGGATTTCAAAAATTAGAGTTTACATCAAAACATGGCTTGTGTAGTATTAAATGAAAGTTAATTGAACCTGCAGTTGAATTAAATGCATTTTATTTTTCAAGCCAGTGGCGCACGAGGAAGGTATTTCAAAAATTAGAGTTTATATCAAAAAATGGCTTGTGTGGTATTAAATTAAAGGTAATTGAGTCTGGAGTTGAATGAAATACATTTTTTTTAAGTAAATGACGCATAAGAAGGGGTTTTTAAAAATAAGAGTTTAAATCAAATCATGGCCTGTATGTTATCGAATGAAAGGTAATTGAGTCCGATGTTGAATAAAATACATTTTTTTAGGCCAGTGGCGCACAAGGGAGGATTTCAGAAATTATAATTATTTAAATCAACTCGTGGCTTTTTTTGAAATTAGTATTATCTTTTTTTTTTTAATTAATTTGTTCCAGAAATCAAAATGTCCGATATTAAGAGAAAACCCTCTGGAAGCGAATTTAAAAAGCGGAGATTAAACAAGCAAACACAGCTTCAAAAACAGTCAGATACGCTGCAGAACTTCTTAAAAGAAGGTAGTTTCAACGCTCCCACAACCGACCAACATTTCAACAACGCCCAGCACCTAGGTACTGACTTTCCGGATATGGGCCCCCCCTTTGGACGCAACCTGAAATAGTTAGTTTATTTTGTTATGTTATTGATGTTTTCTTAAGTACTTTGTTTTGTTAAATTATTTCGCATATATATATATATATATATATATATATATATATATATATATATATATATATATATATATATATATATATATATATATTATTGAATTGTAGTCGTCCGTGGCATCCGTATAGATATGACCCTTGATGGCATCCGCCTAATATACACCATGTATACTGAGAAGAATTTAAAAATACTAATAGCGTATTTCGTGAACTCTCTAAGTCTGACAACACTGATCCGTTTGAAATTGCATGAAATGTTACTAGTTTGTGTAAAATTCAGCCCCTTTTAGACCTTAAAACCATATGTGTTTATTTTACGGACGTTTAGTTGTACTTTGAATAAAGACCCAAAAATAGATATTTGGGTATTGCTCACATTTCTTTTACTTTAAATAAATAAAGTGCCTTGGTTTATTTGGTCATAAATTTTTATTTAATTTTATAGGCGACAGATATATTTTGGAAAACATATTCTTTATCTTCTGGTTCAGTAAATTATTTTTAAAAACATGAGGAACTAAAACACATGTAATTTTTTAAAACAGTTAAAGCCCCATCTTTTGTTTTACAGCGTGTGGAGGTGTATTCGAAATAATATAATTTAACAAGATATATACAGTAGGAAAACAAAAACATGAGTGTTTACAAATTTAAAAAATATCAGTGGCGTTAAAATATAGAATAAAATTAAAAAGCTTGCAATTAGTTAGAATTAAAATAAACGTTAGATAAATATTTTATGTCTGTTTTAATGTTTTTTTAAAATGTATCATTTTAGGGATAGTTCTTTTGTTTTATTTGATTTATTTTCGAGAATTTGTACATTTTCAAAACCAAAAGAGTGCAAAAAATGTTCTATATAGAACTTGTGTATTTCTTATGACTCCTAAAAAGACAAAAAACAGTCCAAAAATGACGTTCTCCTTAGTAAACAAAATCAATCAAAGAAAAACTGTAATAAGGTTTTTTTTTTCTAAAATTTTACTTTAAACTTAAATTGGAGTTAATATAAATTTGGGTTAAACATGTAATATTAATGGATTTTTAGTTTTATAATGTTACTATTTTCTATTAAAACGGAAAAAATAGTTGTTTAATTATAGATAAAAGCACAAGATTGTATGCCGTGGCTGGTGTTTCATAGCCGAAGCGAAGATTTATGTTTAATTAAAATTTAAAATTGTCACTTATCCTCAAATTTCTTAAATACGGACAATTTTAGGAAAGTTATGTATAAAAGAAAACATATAGAAAATAATTTTGCAAACAACTTTTATTCAAGGAAGTTTCTTCTCCAAGTATAAATAACAGATACATTCAATAGAGTAGAAAAATGCCCTTGTATAAAGTAGCCCCAGATGTTCTGACTATGCCCAAAATCTAATCAGGTTACCACATAATAGATTAAAGCTTGTTTAAATTTTAGTGTTTTTCTCTTTATTCGCTTTTGAGTTATGTTCAAAATTTAAAATTTTCACTTATCCTCAAATTTCTCAAATACGGGTCATTTTACGAAAATTATGTATAGAAGAAAAAATAATTTTGCCAAAAAATTTGAATCAAGGAAGTTTTTCTCCAAGCGTAAATAACAGATATATTCAATAAAGTAGAAAATTACTCTCTCATAAAGTAACCCCCTGATGTTCCAACTATGCCCAAAATCTAAGCAGCTTGCCGCATGGTAGATTAAAGCTTAAATTTATAATTTGTTGCTTTTTTTAATCCGTTTTTGAGTTCAAAATGTTCAAAATTCTAAATTTTCACTTTTCCTCAAATTTCTCGAATACGCTCCATTTTAG